CCAAGGATTTTGAGCACTTTCTTAAATGTCTTTCAACCATTTCAGATTCCTCTGTTGAGAATTCTCAATTTAGTTCTGCACCCCACTTTTTAATTTCATTGTTTGGTGTTTTGGTGGCTAGCTTCTTGAGTTCATTGTATATTTTGGAAATCAGCCTCTGTCAGATGTGGGGTTGGTGAACATCTTTTCCCATTCTGTGGGCTGTCGTTTTGTCTTACTGACAGTGTCCTTTGCCTTACAGAAGCTTCTCAGTTTCAGAAAGTCCCATTTATTAATTGTAGATCTCAATATCTGTGCTACTGGTGTAATGTTCAGGAAGTGGTCTCCTGTGCCAATTCGTTCAAGGGTATCTCCCACTTTCTCTTCTAGAAGATTCAGAATGTCTGGATTTATGGTGAGATCTTTGATCCATTTGCACTTAAGTTTTGTGCATGGTGACAGATATGGATCTATCTGCAACCTTCTGCTTGTCTGAATCCAGCTGTGCCAGCATCATTTGTTGAAGATGCTGTCTTTCTTCCATGGTATTTAGCACCTTTGTCAGAAAATAAGGTGTTCATAGGTGTGTGGGATAATATCAGGGTTTCAATTCAATTCCATTGGTCTGTCTATTTTTGTGCCAATACCAAGCTGTTTTCAGAACTATGGCTCTATAATAGAGCTTGAAGTCATGGATGGTGATGCCTACAGGAGATCCTTTATTGTACAGCATTGTTTTGGCTATCCTGTTTTTTTTGTATTTCCATAAAGAGTTGAGTATTGTTCTTTCAAGGTCTGTGAAGAACTGTGTTAGGATTCTGATGGAGATTGTGTTGACTCTGTAGATTACTTTTGGCAAGATTGCCATTTTTACTATGTTGATTCTACCTATCCAAGAGCATGGGAGATTTTTCTATTTGAGGAATAGAAATATCATCCTTTAGATGTTACCCATAATGATAGTGATGGAGGTGGATGTGAAGCCAAATAGACTGATACAGGAAATCATGTTTTCCTTATCACATTACATTTCTTTTGTGTCATCAAAGTTAATTTCAAATCCCCCATGGTATTATAGAAGAAAATATAAATTATTTATAATTAGATAGTAACTATTAATACAGCATTTTCAAATAGAATACCATAATTTGATATGACTACTTGATTGTTATCTATTAAGAAGAGTAACTTTAATATACATGACTAATCTTAGCTTCATTATTTATCTTCATTATGAGAAAAAATTTTGGTATTGTTTCTCACAGCATGCCTGGCTCCTGAAAAAACAGATTGGAAGCCAAGCCACCAGAATCTCAGCAAATTCAATATGACTTCCCACTGAAATAAATCAGTCCATGTAGGAAAAACATGTCTTTACAGAGACACATATTTAGTTCTATGCCCAAGTATGCCAGGTTGCAAGTGTGCATTTCTCTTCATTCCTTCTTTATAAATCTCAAATTCTGGTGTTTCAAGGGACAGAATAACCCCAATTCATGGTGGCTTAAATTTTGTTTGGTAGTAACTGCCTCATAGTTTGGGAGGCATTAGTTCCCACAAAAGTTTGTTGTGCTGATCTTCTCTAGTTTTTCTTTTTTTGTTATCAAAATAGTGGACTTCTACCTAGGTCTTGTTTCCTCTGTGTCTCAGATTAATGTTTTCTCAGGAAACCAGTATAAATGCTTAATATCTCAAACATTCTGTCTAGGAAACTGCACTGTGAACTAATGAGGTTCACTACATTTGAAGTTTGTCAGAATACATTTCCTATCACATGTCTTGATCATGACAACGTCGTCATAAAAGCTCTGTAAACTAAACAGTGGCTGAATTGTGATGAACATCTCTCTGGTCTGAATTTTCTGCAGTATCTAAATATGGAATCATAATGATGAAATTTGTTTGTGAAAATTATTGCTTTAAGCTGGAAACCATATTCATCCTAACTAGCCAGATGTCTAAGTCTCCCATATAAAAAGTAACTCTTCAGAGGGAAGGCAAGACATTTTTCTTGTTCACTAAGAAGCACAACTAAAACACAATTAAAATCGAGAATGCCTCCTACATAAGTCCAGCAGAACACATAATACAGATTTTCATGAATTATGATTTACACAATTATGTATGTAATGGTAAGAAATGAATGAAACATTAATCTTGTCATACCTTCAAGACTGAAAAGAAGGAACCAATCATATGTAGGATTTTAAAAGACCAAAAGTATCCCAAGCATTTTATTTTTCAAAAGTGTTACACAACATTTCCTAAAATTATGGGACAGGTTTGGGTGGGTAATGAAGTTGACCTCTCCCTTCAATGACCTGGTTTCCAGTCAGACTCATGACTTAGGAGTTTTAGTACAATGAATATAATCCTCTAAAATATTTTTTACCTTCAATTAATATATTTCCTCATTTCATATATGGCACATGAAAAATACTATGTTTTCAAAGACATTAAACTAAAATCCCATTGTGGTCTCATCCTGGAAGAATCTAGCTGGAAAATAATGAGAGTTGCCCTTGTGAAAATGTGACCTAAATTCTGTCCCATCTGCTTCTGTATGTCTCTGATAAAACTTTTGCTTCTTACTTTCCATATATTTCCTATTAAACAAGTCACTTCAGTCATGTTAGCATTTCATTACAGCCTTTTATTAATACATACTTTTTTAATTCTGTCAATTTCTGATTCATTACAGGAAATCCAAAAATGAGCAACTGCTCTTCCTAGTGAGACCATCAATTCTAATGAAGATAACTCTGTCTCCACACAGT